TTGTGAAAAGTATCGATATAATTTTTTAGATAATATATGTGATTTTCACCGATATGGATGAAAGTATAAAGATCAAAATTGGTTCCAAATAATCAAGCAGCATTTCTTTGTCTGTTGCAATTAGAAGAAAGCTTTCGCGTGATAAGAGATTGCGGTCTACGAAAGCGTCCTTTGTCAGGTCGAAGGAGAAAAATGATACAGGTGAGAGGCTGGTTGTAACCCCGCATAATTTCGAACACAATGGGGCTCCACCACACCCTTCGGACTTTAGAGGCCTGCTCGAGAAGAGCTGGACTCAAGATCGCTTGGTATGCAGTGGAATGTATATAGGTAGACGTCACACCCTGTCCCTAAACTTCACGTTTTGCTTTTTGCTCTTCATGTAGTCTAGACACGCGGCCTTCTTAGAATTTAATATATTTAATGTTCTCTGCCTAGAATTTAAGCAAATTGTCACGCGATGTAAAGGTCGATATTCCTTTTCCTGACTCGAAGACTCATCCTTCGTATTTATTTTTCAGCGAAATTATTACAAGAGTGGGTTGTTCGTTACTTTATTACTTTTGACTGGTTCCCAATTAAACACATACGATAGCAATCCTAGAAAAATGTTTTCACCATCACTGCTAATTTAAATAATATACGAAGTTTAAAAAAAATAACATGAGAATGTAAAACGTGGTGCTCAAACTCGAATGGTTCCACTGTTTTACTAAAAAAAAAAAAGAAAAAGAATGTAAAGCCAGTTATTTCAATAATCGCACAAATACGAAACGAGGAATAACGTATTTACGAAGTAACGCGATTAGGCGTGTTGGCTTTCAGGTTTACGAGAATCGTCTACACGAGTGACGGGGAAGTTAATGCGGCAGGTGTTTTCACAATCGACTTCTTTAGATCGGCCATTGCTTCTGCGTGAATCGCAAATATTTTCCGTGAGCACGGCATTGACGAGTGGACACTGGTTTCACCCGTTAATGAAATTATCACACGCTTACTTAATGCCTATATATAGAATTCACATAGTATTCCACATTGTCAGCTCGTATCACGAAGATAGCAGACGCCAGCTGGCGATTCGATAAGTTATCGTTAAATGCAAAACGTATTCGCAAAGGGAACCCTATACGGCTTACCTGACATCAAACTCGGAGTCCACGATGAATATTCACAAATACGTATAATGAATGGTTTATTTTAAATTAAATGATGCTTGATGTGGATCATTTTCAGTGATACATGGATATGTCATAGGCATGAATAATTTTATAAAAAAGAAGAAATGTATGAATCTGCAAATACTAAGAGGATAGTAGTCATTATGGATAGGATGTGTAAATAAAATTCATTCGACAGTGAATTGACATGAAAATGTGGTGACTTGAATGAGTGGACCAATAGAAATGAACGAACTGTTTATTAAGATCACTTGGTCAGCCACTTTGATGAAAGAAGGTCCTAACTTTGGAACATAATTTAGTATTGAGTATTTACTTTTTTATATGTTCAATTTGAATCCTCGAGGGATGCGATAATTTCAGAAGACAATAGCGTACCGAGTGGGCATATTTCACGGTTGGTTAATTAGAATAAATTTGCATGTACACGATGTCGTATCGCTCGAAGTTAATATTTTGCTAATTAAATTTGAAGTTATGTCAGAGCCTTGATGAAGCTATGCTGTCAAGAATGTCTCAGTTTTCGACCATAAACGGTTAAGCATCGCCGATGGGTAAACACGGTGAGCGCAGTTTACGTAATCCACCCTACTTAAAACAGCCACTACCGCGGTGACAAATAATGTATAAAGCAAAAACTGAAAATCGTTAAGAGACATTAGTCATGTTCCATTTGCGTCTTGTTAAGTCGTCGACGAAGCAAGAAAAAGTGAGAAACCTGATTGGCAAGCTGTACACGAAGCACGATTAACATTATTAAATGTTTGTAACCGAGACGAGTTGAAGAGAATGTCACTGGACAAAAGGCAGAGAATAAAATATATAGGAGCATTGAATTCGGAATAAATGAATGGAACTGATGCAATAGGGAATAGAAATAGTTCGATAGAGATCTTTAATTAACGAATAATAACATTGTAACAAAAATTAACTGCGAGTGTTTATGCAAACATTCATGAAATATCAACAATAATATACATGTTACAACGTTTCGAAGATAAATACTTTCGTTTAAGTTTCTGTTCTTTAGCTCTACATGTGCAAATATGAATATGCATAAATATCTGCATAGTAATGAAGTACAACGTTGAAAATCGTACAGGTAAAGTGACATATACTTTGTATTTCATATTAATCGTAAAATGTACGTGTTTAAGTGACACGCGCGGAATGTCGTGGAGTATTCCAATACGGGCACGATTTGAAAAGAAAGCTTGAACATTTCGACACAAAACAATCTCTGTTAACGGTATCATGCTACATAATGATTGCTCTTACATAGTCTGACTTCAGGAAGGAAGCACAATTTCAACAGACTGAGATACGAGTTCGGTGAAAGCGAATACCTTTAACGTGAAACTTCTTTGCATAAAACTCGGCATTGTTCCGACTGGCTTCCTGATTTGCATCGAAAAATTTACGATTCCTATTATACAGTCGTTTTCACTTTGCATGCCGAACTTTGAGATCGATGAAATTCTCTTAATTCCTGATTCGATTGTTTCGTATTACTCGGTATCAGTGAAAGTTGAATCTTCAACTTCAAAGATTTCAGTTTGATATTTCACACGTGTGTATAGAAAAAGCTTCATTTCCATAAAGATTGACGAGTGTCCTAAACTTCTGGGCGTCACAGTAGACACGAAAATTGACCTTGTCAAATGTATAATAGAAGTAATTGTTAATCGTGCTGATTCAAGAGGTTTAGCTCCTTAGCGCGCGCTGCATAAATAAACCATTACCATATTAAGACTTCCATGTTAACAAAAGGTCTTTGAAAATGTCCTAATTGCAGTTAGCAAATATATTTCACTTGCCAAAGCAAGACAAGTAGCTTTCTGTATAATAATGTTATAAAGTTATAGCACTAGTGTTGGATTGATTATGGGTAGCAATTTCTTCACTGAAGAATATGTCTTCATTCTGCATTAAACTGAAGAATCTCCATAAAAAAAAGACGACACAAAAATTGCTTATACCATTGATTAAACTCTTGATGTAAGAATCAAACGCGTGGCTCGCGATACCGACACCGGAAGTCGCTTCTAATTTCATCAAGGTCAATTTCCCAATCTACGTTGGCCAAAGCCTCGTAAGCCTAAATATGTATTCATTTTGTTTAATTTGGGTTATCAATCAACTGATTATTTTTGGAAAAGATTAACTGTTTAAGAAAGATTCCAAACCGCGAGACTTCGAATAATCTTTTATAATTTCATTTCATTTATGTTCGCTGTAAATTGCTGCGTAGCAGTAAGATTCTAATGTAAACAGAAATTTTCTGTTTCCGCGCACCAAATATTCGAAATCTTTCGTTACGAAAACACTTTTATGAGGCTACCAGATGCCAGATCTGGTAGTATGTTATTCTAATCGCATGATCAGGACCCTGGACGTTTTACGACGCGAAATACATCACGATCAAGACACCGTATGCCTAACGGAATATGCATACTGCACAAGGATGAATGCGTCGGTCCAAGCTTGTAAACCTTTCCTTTTTAGGTAACCTTATACGTGAATAACTGTGCGACCATTGCGCGTTTTCCGTCGGTCCCTACAGGCATCGGAATGAAAACTGTACGCGATAACTATGGATCGATCGTTTTCAAATCGTCATATAAAAATTGGTTTGCTCCCGATTGAATTGCAATAATAAATCAACGGACTAGACAACGACTTCTTCTTTGATCTCCTTATCAGAGTTGAGCATCGATTACTTATATGGTAATCACTCACAGTTGTCAGATTAATGACTCATTACGTCGGTTCATTGGCGCAAGCATCAGGTAAAACGTAATCAGAAATAACGAGAATCTATACCTTATTTCTAAATAAAAGCTGTTTTTACTTAGAAATAGAAAGTGAGAAGATAGTTTAAGATTGCCTCGTCAGTCAATTATGTATTCCGTAGAATTTTGATTGTAACAACCAACAACTACTTTTCTTTTTCTGTAATTACTTCTCAATTAATTTGTGTTTAAACATCAGGCAATAATCAATTTACACTAAGAGGAAAACATATGATACGTGAAGAGGAAGGAAGTAAATAGGGAAACCTGCCCACTTCTGAAACACTCATCGGCGATAGCGTAGGCGGAAACGTGTTCTCGGTTTCTGTGAGCGTTACAAAAACTTTCTCCGAAACGATGCTTGCGTTTATAGGGAGAATTTGTGGGACGCGTTGGAAAGAACAACGAAGTGTTGAAACAAGTTGGGTCAGTGACTCCCAGCGACTGCTCGTGTCGCAGACCCTACAGGATGTGTTACTTGGATCACTGGCACATCGCATAATTAATAACAGGCAACGGTCGGAGCCTCGTGTTCTATCGAGTTTGAAAGATTGATGACGAATCTCGAGGCTCCTGCGATAAGAATGAAATTAAATATGAAAAAGGATTGCCCTTCGATTCGAAAAATTGACGAGTCCATGCATACAGGGTGTCTTTGTCAAAGTCAGCAGGTCATTCTACTATCAGCGCTAGAGATCTATATGTATTTCATTCCAATTATACCGAAAATAAGATTTTGAGTATTTATTTCGTTTCATTCTTTATTTCACTTTAAATTCCCAGAAAGTCTATCAATGTCAACTTGTTCTGTATTATTTATTTATATAACAGACTATTGAACTTTAGACATTTTCTAAAGAAGATCTAAGAAAATTGGTTTGAATGGTTCATAGTAGCTTACCGCTAAATGATCCTATCGTTTGCTTCGTCGTCCTGTATTCGAAAGCTTCTGCGCGCTGTAACGTTATTTCTAACCGAGCAAGGGTTCAAGGAAACAGTGATTGACGATCATAAATCGGCTCTGTTGCAGATCAACAGTAAATACAGCGAGGAGTTGGCGCAGGAATGTTTGGAATGGATCAAGACGATCACGGGCGAAAATATAAATACTAACGGGGACATGGACAACTTCTATGAGATTTTGAAGGACGGGACCCTTCTTTGCCAGTATGTATACTTCTTGAAAAAAAAAAAACACTTGTTGATACGGCGAAGATTTCTGCCATGTTAAAATCGACGTTTACATATTTCAGACTAGTGAACGATATCAAGGAAGGTTCGGTGAAGAAGATTAACAAAACCAGCCTCGCTTTCAAGTGTATGGAAAATATTAACGCCTTCCTCGAAGCCGCAAGAGCGCTGGGCGTTCCGGCTCAGGAGACGTTCCAGACAGTCGATCTCTGGGAAAGACAAAATCTCAATTCCGTAGTGATTTGCTTACAGTCTCTAGGTAGAAAGGTACGAGAACGTAGAGTATTTCATTTATTGTACTGGTACATAAATATTTTGCTTAAATATAGAGTCCGTAGAGCTTGTTTCGAAATGGAGCACTCTTAAGTTACGTAAAAGAGTATAAACGGGGTGAGAAAAGGAGGATTCATGAATCTATGCTTATATGATGTTTTCGTTGACATAATAAATACATTGCTATAAATTAAAAATTATATATTGTAAAAATTAGTATTTGGCATTATTTTAACGTGAAATTTGCTTTCCAGGCGGGCAACTACGGTAAACCAAGTATCGGACCAAAAGAAGCGGACAAAAATGTACGCAACTTCACCGAGGAACAACTGAGGGCTGGACAAGGTGTTATCAGTTTACAATATGGCAGCAACAAGGGTGCTAATCAAAGTGGCATTAACTTTGGGAATACTAGACATATGTAAACGCATTCATCGTAACGTCACCCGAAGAAATTCCAACTTCACTCGATCCTTTTATTTTATTTCCATGATGTACTAGACTTATAGACAATGTTCGTCGTACAACAATCTTTCTTGTCGTGGTCCAAATTAATCTAAATGGCGCACAAAACACATCCGCGCGCGTGGACGATGAACCGGATGACTTTGTATGCATTTACACTAGGAGATAGTAAAATACGTGCATACCGATGGGTATGTTGTAACATTCTTTTTCGTACTGTTTCGGCAAAATGAGCAATCTCAACAAAACACACCTTTGCTCAAACTGAAAATTTCAAGCGTACTTCTAGTATCGTAATACGTAGATCGTTAATGAATTGTGAACAATTGAAAGTGCTATAAAAAAAAAGAAGTATTTGTTCTTTGAAGGGAAACCAATTTATTTCCAAATGTAAGAACAATGTTACATTATGCTGCTAATAAAGATTGGACTCCATGTTTGTTAAATATTACATATAGATTATAAAACAGAGATACTAATGCAATTAGATACTCTGTTACTGTTACTGTAAAACCTCGTACGAGTTACAGTGTAACCAAATTATACTTTAAAAATTCATGTTGCACGTGAGATGATAACTATTATAATTATTGTATAATGATAAATGATATATAATTATATTAAGTATTTTGTACAAATATTTTTTGATGATTATAAAAATAATTTTTCATAATGTATTGATGAAATGAGTTAATAAACCAACCCGCAGACTATATTAATGTGTAATGATCAAATCAAATCATAAAACTATTTTTAAATGCTTTATTTCTGAATGGCATATACAAAGTACTATATCATATGATAAATAACAATGAGTAATTCACTTATTTTAAGAAAGGATAATATTCAACACTGCCATAATTAAATTTCTGTTTTCGATTCTCCTTTCGTTTTGCGGCCATATCTAATAACTTCAGTACACTAGGCCTGTAAAAGAGAAAAGTAGAGAGATCTTCCAACTGTTATTTAATAAGTACCTTTTCTTAAAAAGGTAAATTACCTGTAAGGTGCAGGTAATAGTTCTTCATCTAATGTGCATACTAGATCCTTTGGATGAGGTGGAGTTTGTATATATACATTGGATCTAATAATATCTATGTCTCTCTTAAATTCATCACGAATATTGTGTAATGTTGATGGTGGAATATCAAAGCAAATAAGAAACTGACTAAAAATACATAACATAGCTATAATATTCAACTTTCGTTAACAATACGTTCCTAATATATAATCAATGTTAAATATACACAAAAATGATACTCAATTAACAGAAACAGATAACCTTACTGGGCTACTTTATAATGTTTTCCGTGACTCGACGCCTTCATGGGAAGTTCTTTTTCTCCCCAATTTTCAATTTTCCTAATAAAACCACCTGTTTCGAATATTGAATTTGTCACTCTCTTTAAAGTGGCTACACATTCTGGCTGTAAAGAAATATATTTAATTTACAACTACTTAAAAATGTTAAGCAACGAATGATAAATAAACAGCAGTTTATAGGTTAAGTGCATTTTATGTAAAAGGTTAACTGTACGAAGAATTCGAATTTATTACGGTACCTGTTTCATAACTCGTAATAATAGTGGCATTTCATAAGTCGGCATGTTTGCGAATTGATTTGGATTTTGAAGAAATTAAAAAAACCACATTTATAACACAATTCCCTGTTAGAAAGTTAAGTCAGAACAATCGTCCCAAAAGCAAATTTATGGGCACAGAAATGGTATTGGCAACATTCACTGCCTTCAGGCCAAGTTTGTAGTGAAAATAGTTCTCACTGCTGACATTAGATGGCAAATGGTTTAGCATACCATTGGCGCCATCGGTGGAAAAACGCCCAAGTTTTTGCTTTTTCCCTATCCTATACTCTGTGCCAAAATAGTAATTGTTTTGTACTGACGATAGTACACTTGATGTGAACTTAGCCAAGTAAATTGTTTTACAAAAGCAAGACCCAATTATCACATTGCACATTTGTTATCGAATACTATTCTTCGTAAATAAACAACAACAACTTTATAACCTTGTTACAAGTCTACATAAATACACTGTTCTCAATGTTAACAAACTTATAGGTTATGATATATTCAAATAAAAAATGTTTATAAGAAGAATGCTCTTTAATCTTACAACAAAATATAACGTTTCGTATTTAAACTTAATAAATCAACAACGAAATTTATATTCGCTTTGTGAAGAAAAGTATTGCCTCCCTTCGTTAATTTTAACGAATGTATCACAATATTCGAGTGACAGCCCGTTAAAATGCTGGAACTGCAATTTTACCTATAAATCCGATCTATTTTGCTCAAAGTGTAAAGTTTTACAAGAAGCGCCGGAAAATATAACTTATTTCGATATAATAGGCATTCCACAAAGTTATGATGTACAAATCAAAGAAATTCAAAAGAAATACAAGGAACTTCAAAAATTATTGCATCCTGATAAATTCAGTAATAAGTCTGAGGCAAGTATATGGAATACTATGGAAATATTTCTGTTCATATGAAGATTCATAATTTATTATTCTGTTTTCCATAGAAAGAGAAACAACTCTCTGAAAATTTATCATCATTGGTAAACAAAGCTTATAGTACATTATCTCATCCATTGAAAAGAGGGCTATATATGTTGAAATTAAATAACAGAACAATATCTGAAGAAACAGATAATATGAATGCAGAATTTTTAATGGAAATCATGGAAAAGAATGAGGAAATAGATGATGCATTAAATGATCATAAAAAACTTAAGAAATTGATGGACAAAAATGAGGCTATGTTAAATAATTTGTCGATGTAATACTTGCTCTTAATAAAAGAAAAGTAATGTATCGATTTATGTCATAAACTAATATGGATGTTCTTTTGTACAGGGAAATTTCTAATGCATTCAGGGAAAAAAATATGGAAAAAGCAGAAAATATTCTTATAAGAATGAAGTATTATGATAGCATACATACTAGAATAAAAAAGTTGAAACATGATTTAGGTATTGTAGAATGAATGTAAATGATTTCATAGTATATAAAACATTTGTGATTTAATTGTATGTCAATTTCAATGTATAAATATTTGTATTTAATATAAAAAGTGTGCTACTATTTAGCACTTTGTTACTTATAAATTATTTTAGAGTCTGTATTAATATATTAACATTCTATCTCACTGTAAAGTGTGACATGTAAAAGAAAGACAGCAGTATAAAATAATAACAAGGCTGACAAAATTGTCTTATTCCTGTTGATTATCTATTTTCCATTGTTCAATCCATTGGCATATTCTATTTACATTTTCCATAACTTCATTAATATTATTACTTGTCAGTTCATGAACAATTTCTTCTTTGTATGCTGACTTTGCCTCTTCCAAAATAGTTTGAAATATTTCACAGTCTATGTTATCTTCTAATTTTTTTCCTGTATAGCCTCGTTCTTTTAAACGATCATATAAAATTGTATTATTAGTCCTTAATACAAAAACAATGTCAAACCATCTCTCTGGGAAAAAGTCAGCTCCATGATAATCAACAATTTTTCCACCTTCACACATAAGATTTTCCATCTGATCTAGTAACTATAATTAAAAAATATATGGTTCTTAAATTAATCACAATTCTGGAATGTTTGGCAATAGAATTAGTTACCTTGTCTTCATCTAAAATAGGACACTGATATACTTCATCATATTCTTCTAAACATTTGTTTTCAATAGCAAACTTACTAACATCAATCCATTCTAATCCTGTTTTTTCAGATAAAAGGCCAGACATTAAACTTTTTCCTACTCCAGGTGTACCTGGGATTAAACACTTTTTCATGTAATCTGATATTGTTATTAAATGTATGATCTGAACATTGGTAATTGTTACTTCAATGGATCTGTATAATATTAAGTATCGCATTTACCTACTACTAAAATGTTCGGAGAATTTCTGTTCATGTTGATCATTTTCGAACAATTATACCTTGGTTCATAGAACTATTAGAATAAGTTAGTCACACATTGTAAACATTGTTAACAGATTTTTAGAGGTTAATTACAAAATTCGTGTAGTTCGTAACACGAGGCAGTGATGCAGCGTTGCCAACAAATACAGAACGATTGCTCCTGACGCAAGTTAAAAAAACCCCTAAATTTTATTTAAAACCCCCCAAAATGTTTTCTTTATTTATTTATTACAGTTTCTCATAAATAAAGATATTTAATTTAAAATTTAGTTGAAAATAAGTAAGTATCGTTATGTGTAAAAATATAATCAATAAAAAAAGATCGATTACTTAAAAAAAAATTGCAACTTGGGATTTGGAACCTGGTCATCGGCACAACATTCTACAATTTTGTCATGGACACTAGATTGATTAAAAATATTTAACATTATCTTATCGTATCTCAACTACAAAAAAATGATTACACGTCGGCAGATATTGTTCAAAATTATTTTATCAAAATCGTTTTACCTTCACTTGTAAAACTATAAATAAAAGCAACTGTCGGAGGTCTATATTTTTCTTCATACTTCATGGACATTGATGCAACGTAACACGTGTTGGGTCGAGTACGTTTATTTAAAGAGAGAGAAGACGTAGTAGTTTCACCAGAAACACGGAATTTTCGTCACTGATTCGTAAGGTCAATTTAACATTAGTATTAAATTTTTAAGTACATCGGGCGAAAGTACGGTTACAACAGAAGTGAAATATCATGATAAATAAATAATCACCAAAAATCCCAATTGTGGTATTTCAGGAACAATCGCTCACGGCACGACCTGGTACGACAAGAATGAGCTGGCATAATTCGTTGTACTCATTATTTCGAAACCATCGTTTCTCGATATTTAATATATTTTCCAACGGTGCCGTTTGCTTTGTTGCTGATTACTGATCAATTACTCCCAATGTAAACTAGATACCACTTCTGTTTCTCAACACGATTTACCTAACCTGCGTTATTATGATTTATAACCTAATTAATACCCATAACATATTGTTATCTAGTTTCATTATGAAATGAATTCAATCATTTTGAGTGTGTACATGTATATTAAGAATTTAATGCATCAAATCATCATGCATAATTTGATCAAAATATGCTTGTTTGAATGTTTGCATTAGCTTAGGCATTGAAAAAACAAACAAACAAGGTACTTGTAGATGATGTTGATAGATTAGATTAGACACAGATTTGGCTATGTAGAATGTGTGAAGACCCTTAAATATTATTTTATATTATTAAAATATTTAAAATGTAATTATAAATATTTGAATATATACAAATTGGAGATTCACTAACAATAGTTTTTCTGTTTAATTTCAGACGAAAATAATAGGGACAATTGGTACAAAATTTATATATACCAAAGACAAAACGAGATAGCATAGCAAAGGTTTCGCAAAATAAAAAGAAAGCACAATAGATCATAAAAGATTTAAGTATCGCAGCGGTGCAGAAGGGCTCTATGTGCTCCACATCAGCTTCAGCGAATGGTACTTTAGTTTTCAAAAATATTGTGTCAACGCATCAAAGGAGGAATTCAACTGCAAATTATAACCTTGGTATACGAAAGAGGCAAAATGCGCAACGAGATCACTGCAGCAGTACTATTCTTAGTACAGCTGATAGAAAAAAACGAAAAATTTAGTTCTGATCAATTGGAATGTTTCAAACGACGTTTGGTCGAATTACTGACGGAACGTTTTAAAAATCATTGGTTTCCTGATAAACCATTCAAAGGTCAAGGTTATCGTTGTATTCGTGTAAATGGTCATAATCGGAGGGATGCAACTTTGGAGAGTGCTGCTACAGCTGCTGGAGTTAAATACGAAGATCTGTCATTGCCAGTAGAATTAACACTTTGGGTTGATCCTAATGAGGTGTGCTGCCGATTTGGAGAAAGTAAAGGATCCTATTGCACACTTGCATCATTTGATGATAAAGAAAACACTGTACCAATTTTTCATGGAAGCGAGGAACGTGAAAATAAACAATCTGAGGGGCTGACTAAGATACAGGTTAATATGTGTTACATATATTTTAATTACGAATTATTACAGTAATAATTTTTGAAACTGTAAAAAAATTGAGCAAGTTGTGCAGGAAAGTTGGAGTAACAAAATCTGTTGTTTCTTTACAGAAATCCCCTTTGACCGCAAATGCAGAACAACAAAAATCGAAACCATTAAGCTCTGCTAATCAAAACCAACAGCATAGCAATAATGGTACAGGTAGGAGACGCAATTTGAACAGTCCTAGGCTACATATTAATAGAAATCGCACGTGGTTCGGTCACTCCTTCAGTATGGGTTATGGTCCTCACCCAATAAGTCATCCGTGGTATAACATTATGCCCCATCACTTTTTGGGTGGTCCATCACCACCTCCTTTTATGGGTCACCGTGGTAATAAGTGGATTCACCCACCCTCCTATCCTACAGGTCCTGCCCGTTTCCACCATTGGTCACCCAAAGCTGCTCTTAAAGTATAAACAAACCCTCTTTATGAAAATAGTTAAAAAATCTGTTCCTTCATATACAAAAGAAAAGTATAAAATTGTTTTGTCGATTAAAAAATTTTATATTTCTATCTAAAAATAAATAATATTAGTAAAATAATATTGTAATATGAATTGTATATTATTGTTTGCATTACACTCGTGAAAAATTGAATATTATCGTTTTTATATTAGGAACAGATTTATTAACGTTTCTGTGACGAAAATTATCCATTTTGTAATTACAAATGACCTTGTTCGAATTACGACTAAGGCTTACGATTTTTTATGATGAGAAATGTTGCATTATTACATGTTATATATAAATAATTAATTGGATGATAGATGTTTAATTCCGGATGCAAGGTTGCTTGTAAAATATTAGATTAGTGTGAATTTAACTAGAACGAATTAAGTCATTGATATGTGAGACATAAAAATGAATGTTATACCACTTGTGACACTTTTTCTGATTAATCCTCATAAAAAGGATTTAATAAATGATAGGTCGCACATATTTCAGAAGGGAGCAGTATTGATTTTAAGCGGGTTTCCAAAATTAAATACAATTGCTCATTAAATTGAACGTAATGAATTTTAATGCCTTCATAGGCGACCTCAGTTCATTAGTAAATATTTCATGTATCAAATTCTATAATGTAATAAAAAGAGAGAGTTTTGAATAACTTTTTCTTTGGTGTATATATAAAGTATATTCATAATGATTAGAGCTTCAAAATTTTCTTCACTTTTTAATATTGTTATAGTACAATACAGAGATATAAGAAATTTAGCCATGTAACCTGCTAATTTGTTGAGGTAATGATGTCCTACAACAATGTTGACAAACTATGTATATTTTGAAGTTCTAGTAACAGTGATTTGAAAATGATCTTTGACAAGTTCAAATCAACAACTTTTTTTTATTGTACATGTGTATTATTATATTGCGTTAACGAGTAGGAAAACGATATCTTATTTGATTTCACAAGTTTGTGGTGCAGAGAAATTTATAATATTGTTGCTTCAAAAAAGCACACTGTACCTATTACATAAACATACTGCCTCCATAGAAATTCTATAGCTAATCAATTATACTAGAATATTACTAAAAAGTGCATGAATTTCATGGTTAATGTGCAGTTACAAACTTTTTATTTTAATTATGCTCAACGTGAAGATAAATTAAGCTTATGTTTTCAAATGAAACTAATGAAATTTAGCATTTAAGAATATATATCATTGATGTTGGTAGTTCTATAGCACATTGGAGTTGAAACTTTAATTCTGTCATACTAATGCTAATGTCATGTACATTCAATTCTGTATATTGTAGACAATTTATAACACCACAGTAATTTATACTTACTTAAACTATTTCTTCTTGCTTTGTTAACACGTACGTACGCGCCTTATCTGTATTCGGGACTTAGATATGTCTGAAGGTTTCAGAAAACAAATAATACAAATATAGGTCTTCAATTGTCATTTTATATAATATTTGGAGTGTGGAAAGTTAATTTGTTAGTATTTTCATACGTCATTGTTTACTATATAAAAATATACTTTATATAAAAACATGTATCGCAATTAGCAATGAAACAGTTTTTTTTTTATTAATATATTTTAATAATTTCCATTACTTGTTTCCTGAATCTTTCACTCACGCAACACGAATGTTTTAGTATTGTTAGTGCCTAAAATGTGCAATTTCTTTAATTTATATAATAACATAGACTTACTCATAAAAGTAACTACCACTTTATATGCGTGAGAATTTAACGTGAGAGTTACTTTTAAGAATTACGTTCATGCAAGTATGTTATCGTTTCATTGGCGCGGAAAATATTAATTCTTATGAAAGATATATAGTATGCAGTATATTTTAATGACACATAACTAATTTATTTGGTTGAAATAGTTTAAGAATTTTTCAGTTAATGTTTCAGAGCATTAAAATTAACGACAATGTGACAAATTTTTATTAAATGGCATAAGTGTTACCACCTGTTAGATATATTTATACATATATAATGAGAATTTTACTATCTCTAATACAAATTGGAATATTGTTGTCACTAGATAAACTTAGTGTCTTTAGATAAATTTCTAAAACTATAACCAGCTACAACATAAATATTATTGAATGGACTGTATTAGAGAAAATTTTAATCAAAGATATAGAATAAATTTGCAATTTTCATGTTTCACGTTTAGAATTATTTAATGTATGCATGAAACTTGCTCTATTATATATAATTTTTGTGTTCAATTTGTTGAAACTTATTCAGGAGTCATTTTGTTATAAAAGATATGAAAATTCTATATGAATATAGATATTATAGTGTATATGTAGAATTAAGCAATGTTGCATTCGGACATATTCTTTTATTAATAAATATGATGCTCAACATTTGAAATGTTCCAAACTTTTTAATTGTGTTCATATATAAAAAAAGAAAGAAATGTTTTATGCTCCATATAATAACATTTTCACACAATCGAAAATGTTCAGGAACAATTTTTTTATAAGGAATCTATATTCGAATATCATGTGATAAAGTACATAGTATTTAATGAACCTCTGCATACTTGATGAACAAAATTACATAAAACTTCAGACAAAAAATATATTCTCTTTTATACAAAACATTCTTTTATACCTGTAATTTCTTAAATACGATAGATAGATGTTAAAATTTATAAGTGAATATAGTGCTTCGGTGCGGGAAATTAGCGTTTTTTACATAATTTTTAAAAATTATAGAAACAAGTTTAGATAATATTCAAGGAGAAATTAAGATTTTAATTTTCAATTTAAGTGTAGTTTTTTTTTCTTTTTTATGACCAATATGTAGTCAAAATTTTAATATTTCATTATTGTACATTCTCTTGTTATGATTGTACTTTACAGTGATGTAAAAGAACAATTTATGAAAAGAAAAGCAAATTTGTATTGGGGAAAATTTCATAGTACATTATCTTAATGTTTGGATCATTTCGATTGTAGGGTAAGGCACTATATAAGCGTATACATATATTCTACCACTGCTGTGTCATATGTTATAAGAATATTTCATGCATAGTTATGCAATGATGACTATAATCCTGTTCTACAACCATACTGATCTTCGCATTTTTTCATAACTTCAAATATATATCTCTGTTCAGTACTTTGTTTCGTGTTATCCAATAAAAGATATATTACACATTCAAGCAAAATACTTATAAGTTATTATTGTAATTGTACGACCTCTTTACTTTTAGTATTATAATCAAAATTTATGAATTTACTAGTAATAATACAAGTATAAATCAAATTTTAACGCATATTAGGAGAATTCATACCTGTACTATAAATCAAAGAAGTCTTAATAAAACCATATTATTGGTTAATGATTATTAATTCATTTTTAAAATATATATATATTTTTTATTCGATGAATTTGATTATTATCGCGTATAAGTAACGGAACTCAATTGTACACACACACACATGTTGTTTGTAGTTACGTATATAAATCTTTTAAATTATATGAAATAGAAATGCGAATAGAATATTTCATGTATTAATGTTCGATAGTTTACATCTTTACATAGAGGTATTTAGAAGTAAAACTATTCGAAAGTTCGAGTAGCAACTTCTCCGCAATTCATTCTCATTAATCGCGATTTATGTTTATTTTAAGTTTCAAATCATTCGATGTATTTCCTTGTAAATGAAACACAATCTTATAAAGTAAACAATTTCCTGAGTATTAAATACACATTGCGAACTTATAATTATCGTTGTATTAACATCATTAACAGTTTTATGATTACAAACATAATGTATGGGATATAACACATACTTAATAAATATTTCTGCAAATCAAGATCTATCAATTTGTCTTCAATTTATTTTATCCTCGACTCTTATTTTGAAAATTGAGATTAATATTAAATTTAAACTATGGTGTTTATAGAAAGAATTTATTTAAGTTTTGTATTCTTGCTTTACTAATTGGAAGCTTCTGAAATTAGGTTCCTGTTGCGGTTATTTTTGTTTAATCGTCTTCATTGTTTATGTTACTACACTGTTTTACGTTCGATAGATTTATAAACAATTTTATTTACCTAGACACGACCGATAATTAAAAGTTTGTGTCGCCTTCTATCATTTTTGCCGCGGAAAGCTAACAGATAACATGAGAACACGTCGATGTCCAATACGAGTTGCAGTCATTTTTCATTGGTCATGCTCGAGTACTGTATTAAGTACGATTTTCATTATCATATATAGTATATAGTATATGAACATTTATGTTCAAACTCTTTTTTCTTACTCGACAAATGTTTTTTTTTTCTCTTGGCGTGAATTTATGACACATCGAGGAAAATCGTGAAAGCTGTATACCACGACCTCGGTAGTAGATAAAAACGTCTGGTATGCAACTAGAACGTTGACGACCGAGTGTTGGACGAGTTAGATGTGTGGCAAACGACAGGGAAATTTGCAATTTGTCGTTTCATAGGTTTTTATCGCATACAATATAAAATTTTTATCGTAAACGTTATCGCGTACATTGTCCTTGTTGTTGGCAATGCTATGAGAAAATAAATTGCGCCGAAACGTGCACAAACAGTCCATATTTCTATACAAAGCGAACGATAGGGTTATGAGGCTCCAATTTCGAAGTCTCGCTATTCGTAAATATTTTTTCAGTGTTTTCAATATAATTTCTATACTACGCGATGGCTGAAAAATGTAAGGTATGTAAGTGCATCAAGATTGTACGCTTATCATGCGGAAAAAAGCTTTGCGTTCAAATAAAAAAGTTAGAATATAAAAAATTGAGAAATAAAAAGTAAGAGTAGTTTATTTCATGGAATTTAGCGAAGTTTAATCCGCTGATAAAATAAAAGACGTTAGCTGCAAGTTAATGCATCGATGTTAATACATTGTCGCAATAATTTTAATCTTTAACCTCTCCAATTGACTGTAATTGCATCTTTTACCATATGTGAAAGTTACTTATTGTAGATGCATTTTTATTTTAGGTATGTGGGTGTACGTGCACAAACTGCACTCAAAAAGATCAACAGCACAATGACATGCATCTGCATGTAGAAATAGAAAATTTGCGCCAACATTTGATGGAAAGGGATAATCACATTGCGACAATGGAGACACAGTTTTTGAATGAGGCTGATAAATTTCCAAATGGAGAATTGGCTTCAATGAAGGAGGAACTTTTAATTTGGCAAGATAAATATTCAAGATTACACGAGGCTCATAAACGCATTCAGAAAGTAAATCAAAATCTTGAGGATAAATTATTGAGGATTGTAGATAAATGTGAAACAGAGAAAAGTGCATTCACCAAGGATATCGCGACTTTATCCCACAGATTGGCTGATGCAAATTATACGATACATCGTTTGACACAAGATAATGTATGTTCAAAGTATAAACATACATAAATTTTCTCAAATTGAATCATAGATAAATAATAATTTATGAACATATTTTACAAAGAATATTTTTTATTTCAGGAAAAGTATAGAAACGATGTAAATTTGGCAATACAACTTCTTCAGTGTAAACCTTCCAACTTTGTTGGTCAAAAATATGATACTGTAAGTAGTTGTATGTATAATATGCTGTATTTATTCCTGTTATTTGTATGATAAAAATTGTTCCAATAGTAGCTATTGTTTTTCTAGTTACCTACCGAAGTACAGGCAAAAGTTAGAACATATGTTGCACAAAAGAAACGAACAAATGATGCTCCTCCTGATGTCAAAAGTATTACAGTGCCAATTTCAACGTTTCCTCCAACAGCAATGGTATATAATGTAACTAAGCCTATGCTTGACAAACATAGTGACGATGACAGCGACGAATCAAAGCCGCCGGTAGATGTTGTTTCAGCCGCAATAATGGCCAAAGTTTTGGAAGACCGGGAGAAAGAACGGATATTCTCCAAGCATTGTGATACGTGTACTTGTCATAGGAGCATTTTGATGGTCGACGGTGAAACTCAAACTAACGGGCAAGATGTTTTTTCTTGTAACGAATGTGCTACCAAGTATGCAGAAAATACAGAAAAATGTTCGGATAATATGAAAAGTACCGATAAAACTTACCAAAATAAAGAAAGTCAAAATTCTATGTTACACGTGGCTTACCACGAGGTGAATGAAAATGTTAGTAACAATAAAATGCAATATCAAAACAATTGTACAAAGACTACTAGCAGTCAACATTTATGCACAAAAGATAAGTTTTTAACTAGAAACGGTAAAGTCTTGGAGAGCGTGAAGGAAGATGTTCGTGTTAGTGTCAATACGAAAGCTAATTTAAATAAAAAAAACTCTTTGCGTCGTAGTGATATGCAAATTCAAAGCGCTTTTCAAAATCAGAGCGCAAACATGACGAAACACGTAACTTCTCAAAATATTGGTAACACGTGTATGAATAGCAAAACGAATGCTGATAAGGGAAAACAGGTGAAACCGTATAAAAAATGCGAATCACAAATCGATAATACATTGAATCCAAATCACTGGAATACATTGGAGAAGAAGTCCTCTAACCATAGTCATATAGTTCCTGAAAATTCTAACAGTTACTTTGATGGAAAAGAACAGAGTCCAATTGATATTATTAATGATAGACTGTGGAAAAACGAATGGACGAAATTAAAATTGCAAGCTAATAAAGACACTAAAATAATAGATAAAGTCTGCGGGGATATCGAAATTGACATTATCAACGATAGGGTGTGGAAGAACGATAGATCAGCAGAGGAAACTCACCTCCCAGCACAATTAACTTTTATAGAAGTAAAAAACATAGATAACAATTCAAACCAAAATGATTCCGGACTAATGGAAGTGGCGACTAGTCCAAGTTTTAGTAGCGATAGTATAGTAATTTCAACTTCCGATCCTTCTAGCAGTTCTAGCGATGTTGTTCGCTCACTTAGCGGAACGAATTTGCACAACGTTGGTAATTCAAAATCCAGTAGCCAAAATCGAATAACTGGTCCGAGAAATTGTCTCGTGAGAGTCACGCCTGGATCGAAAAATATTCTTTTAGATAATGCTGGCCATTATAAAACTGTATTATACACTAGTGGAAATAACAAACCAAATACTGCTTTAGTTCACTCGAAAAAATTATCGCGATCCGGATCCGAAAGATCAGTTTCGACCAGTAGCGAGGAAAGCTGTCCGATCTTGCTACACGACAATAATCAATTACAAAGAGTAGCCGAATGGGTTCAGTCATCGGTGCACATGGATAATTCTGTGTCGAATTACACGAAATTAAAGCCTAATGAAAATATAATGAACCAGAGGTCGTTAATGTATTTGAATGAGCAACAAATGAAGTCGAAACTGTTCGTAGACGCTCGAAGATTGCATGATAATACTCAAGAAAAAAAGTGCGGGGATTTAATAGTACACGTTCACAACCTTGGCGAGGGAAATTTAAATAACGATGTAAATAATTTTCCAACAAATGTAAATAACGTTGAACCAGACAAGGAAAAAGATTTAATATCTTTCGATGTTCCGAACGAGGAGGAGAAGGACGTGCCCAAAGCTTCCAACAAAATTGACATCACCGATATCGATTACGAAGTAAAAATCACTAAAGAAATGGAAGAAACTTACCTAAAACTTGCCGCAAGTTTAGATCATGTCACGTTAGACTTACCACGTACGAATAGCGCGGACTTAACGATTGAAAAGTATAGAAAAGATCATAGGAAACTTCAAAGGAGCCTTGAGAAGGCGGGATCAAAAATGTAAAGTATTACGGCAAATATTTCAGAAGATTATTAGTACTATCACAGCAGGGAGTTCCTTTAAAGATAACAGAGCGTTATTTTTTGTAACTATATGAAACTAAGGCTGTACCAAGATCAGTAGCTTAGGAGAAAACATTCTATACACCACTGCAGACATAGGATTATATTTATTTAATTTGTATAGTTATTGTTAGCGTTGCAGCTTTATTGCCTGGTGGATGAGATTCGGTTGTGCGGCAGTCGCGGAATGTTGTTGGTATGTAATTATTTAGTGATTACAATATCAATTCTCTTATAGCTAATATGTCTAATCTAATTGAAAACAAATCTCGAGATTAATTAAATATTTATTAAATTCTTTGAATGTTGAAACGATGAGGAGCTATTTAACAAATGATACGAGAGATACTAGTTATTTTATTTTCATTTTTTCGATCCTTCATAGTTTTTGTCGAACCATTTCTATATCGAAAAATAACCCAATTAAATTAGACGACGAAACTTTTATTCTTGTTACTGCGATTAAATATTATAGAACGAATTGCGTTCGCGTGTATTGAAATGTGACAATATTTAAGATTCGTTGTCGAATGTTAATAGTTATGTTCGCGATACATTAGTGCGTGCTACTTCCAATCAGTGATGGGCAGAATTTTATTCGAATAATCTATTCAATGATACAGTTGTTCATTTAACGTGAAAGATAATCTGATTTTGTAACTTAGATTGTAATTTTTTTCAGACAAATAGCGAAGCAAAACTTGTTTTATTCATTATACGAGTTTTTTTTTTTATATAAATAAGAATTTTGTCCATCTCTGCTTCCAATTAGGGCAACGCCGTAAAGTGTTAGCGTTGCAAAACAAGATTCTTCGAACTGATTTAATACGAGGAACACTGATAACTGTATCGAGACAGCGTTAACGCGTAAAATTCAAAATTTTATTTAACGGTTGTCGCAGACGTAGCGATAGAACGGATAATATATATTTTCCTTGCGTGCTCGAGCAGATATGGCAAAATATAGCGGTGACAATATTAATAGTTCATATAATTATTAAGGTGTATCTGTGGAACAACGTTTCAAGGAACTTGGTCGCGTACGCGCAAAGCAGAATATTTATGAGAAACGCTCGTTCTCCACCGAGAAATGTCTACAATAAAAATTACTATCGTGCAAAGATCATTATCTGTGTTAAAGAATACTTACGGTACCAAAGTTGAAAGCAATCGTTGCAAAGTTAATACGTTTAGTACTTATTTAATGGTCCGCTTTAATCGATGTATCATAGTATAATTATCGTTCACTTTCATTTGCATGTTTCCTTACACACGAAGAGAAGATAAAAAAAAAATGTACTTAGGTGGATCTTCGCCTCATTTTCGATTAGTCGGTCTAAACTGCTGGATTATACCGTGGCTGATTCTTTCGTTACAGAAAGTGTATACTAATAGGAAGGGATTGAAGGTTACAGATTTTACGTCTACAATCAAAATTCGGGATTAATTTATTTAATTACAGTAATTCCCGTTTTCAAATGATAAAATCGGGACAGTTGTTTAACTTGAAAGTGGGATAGGTAGCAGTGTTTAGCTCGAGTTGAGGCTCAACCTTTCATGAACCGTCCGATTAGGAAAGTGAAAACGAGAGAGATACATTCTCTTTGGTGATTGAAACTTGATGATTCTCGTTCTGAATAGATATAAATAGCGACGAGATGATTTTTGTACTTGAGTTTAGTATATAAAGTATCACTTGAAAGCGGAAATTACTGATTGACGTAGTAAATCTATTTCGTCATAATTTTTTAAATAACTTCATTTGAGGCAAGACATATTTTTTAATCGATCGGTACATTACTTGGATAGTGATTCTTTGAGCGTTGTAATAGGTTCTTGAAAGGGGTAAATCAGTGCTGTCCCCTGTCTATATGCCATATTACATTTGTATAAACAATAATACAATGCCATCAACACTCCAGTACGATGATGTTACTGGAATAGGAATAGAGGAATTTGACACAGAGTTGGGCATATTTTTACCAAGATAACGTTTAACGTTCTATATAAATAAACTTTCCTTTATTTGACAGACGGACAATGCGTATAACTATTATTTAGATAATTGAACTCAATACAATTCTATATAATTACCCAACTAAACAGTTTGGGTTAATAACCATGTCCTTCTCGAAGTCGGTTAATTATCCGAATAAAATAGTGGAATATTTATCTAGATAAAAATTTGTTGGAAGTTATTCGAGTGATGCTTAACTCTGGTCGGACAGCACTGTGCTGAATAAACTTGCTGATCTTGGAGTTTCTTTTATCAACAACTTTTCTGACCCTGCAATAATCCATTTCGATGATTGCTGGAAAGGGTGCAAAACAATCGTTGCCCTCTGAGTTTGGATTCATGCAATAGAAAAGCTCTGTGTTACGTGGATATCACGGTGACGCAGCGATCGAACAAGGACGCGTGTTTTAATTAAAAGTAATCATCGTTAAAAAAGTAACCAAATGAAATTAATTAAAGGTAACTGTCGTTTCGAAGATAATGTTCGAGCCGTACGTGTAAATACATATTATATACGCATATGCATATACAAGGATGAATAGCTGATCGCTCGAGATATAAGCGTATGCGAATGTTCTCTTGCGTTCAAGACGAAGGACGAAGGTTGGAAAGATGGCGTAATTTTGGGCTGTTTATATACATATATGCGAAACAATTGGAAGACTCTGGTGCAAGAATTGGTCATCGCCATCTTTTAATAATTTCTTTCTTGCGCCACAGGCTTCAATTATCTCTCAGTTTCCAAACCCAATTGATTTTTGTCGCAACGTTCAATCCAAGGCGTCTTATCTTACGAATATTAACCCTTTGCACTCCGAAAGCACATATAATGTGCACTACGTCTCAGTTCAAATTTAATTATGGTAACATAAAGTGAATTAACGAAATAAATGAATAAAATTAATATCATGAAACTTCAACGAGACTCCATAAAATTGCCTCGAAGTTGCTAGTCATTTAAATGAAACAATATTCTTAGAGTGCAAATGGTTAAGTGGGTGGTTTGGTTTGAAGAACGCAAATTTATATTTTCTTTGTGTATTTAGTTTTAAGAAAGGGCTAGATTTTTTTTATATCAAATTTTGTAAACGTATGTGTATTTTGCCTGTTTTAAGGATATGGATAAATTTTTTTTAATTTGTGATTGTTCAGTCTCGAGTTAAACATTGTTGCACCGAAAGATACAAAAGAAGACTATTTAATGGCGTCCATGAGTAACACTTAAACAAATTTTTTGTCAGTTGCTTGAGTTTTTATATGCGTATTAGTTTGAAAAATGTCAGTTTTAATAAAGTGCAACAAATAAAATATTCAGAATAATTTCTCGATTTTTGACAATCAACAAAAAGATAAAAAAAGAATCGATTTTTTCAAAATTCCAGACCAGGCTACCCTTTTCGTTAAAGAGTTATACAAGTCATCGATTCATCGATGCGCAAGTTATGAATATACAGGGTGCATACAAATATTTGCCATGATATTTAACGCATTTGAATTGATGAAGATTTGTATGAGAAAATTAAATTCATCTTGGTTGCAACGTTCAAATTTTAATTCTAAAGGACAAAGTTATTGGAATTTTGGTTTCTATGTTAAACATAACTTCCTTAATGTCCTTCGAATAAAAATAAATCTTATTGCGGGATTTATTAATAAATCTTCATCGATCCAAATGTGTAGATTTATCCATGAACGCTGTAACGAATACTATATCTACGCCCTGTAGATATAAAGAGCAATGAACAATATCCATTTAGAATAAAACTTCGAAGTATATATTCCCGTCATTTTCAATATGCTTCTGAGGAAACGGTGCCCTCTGAATCTGCCGTCTACAAAGCAATCGGTGAATGGAAATTGTTTTGGCAAATTTCACATTCGAAACTGTAATCAAAATTAAACAATTATGTAGTTATATGATCTCATGCTTGTTAATTTTAATAAGTAGTCTCCAGATCAGTCTTTACGAGTGACCAAATATTTTGAGGAAATCAGGGATTTAAATGATCGATTATTAATTATTTTCTAATACAATATGAAACATTACTATTAAAAAGAAAACTTTTTCTTTAAATCCAGGATTGCTTTAATTTTTTAACGAAAATGCTAAATTTTTTAAGACCTTTTGGTAGAGATTCCCTGTTCACTAAATATATTTCGTTGCTCGTAAAGGCGAATAAAGAGATTAAATTTCCTAGTTACACAGTCTCGACGAAGGGAGGATGGCAACAAAATTCGCAACGTGTAAAAATAAATTGGCACAGAGTTTGTACAACGTGTATCGACGTAAGTTGGTCGAGCAGAAGTTCACCAGGAGTTTTATCGATTAGATCATCAAAGATTTGCACCTGTCTCCGCGATTTTACACATCGATTCGTTTCACGATTGATGCCAAAAGAAGCGGAAGACAGAATGGGATCTTTGAATTTCTTAACTACCTCGTTGCATTCTTTAGTCTCTGATAAAGGGGGATTTCGCTGGATTTCCCAAACGTGCGAACGATTTCACGTTAAGGCGCGTTAATCTCGGCCAAGAGATTAATCGGAAACGGACTGATCGCTTTGGACTCGACACGGAACGATTTACACGTGTAACAGTTACCCATTTAACACGAAAAGAGGTGTAGCATATGTAAACGCGACAGTGATTGCTATGTAAACTGTACATATACAACCGAATAAAATGTGTTTAAAAGGGGACTGGCTGGTTTACTTCTGCTTCATAAGCTTCTGTGCTTTACAACGATAAATTTAGCTTTTATTTCATTAACAATTTTGGTATATCTTCAATTTTATTTATTTATGTAGACTTTCAGTCCTTGTACTATGTTCTCAATTGTTTTTAGATTTTTTTATTTCGATTCCGCAGTGTTTGCCATGTTTTATAAAAAGACCATGAGTCATCTGTATTCATTGTACAATTTTATTTCACAGAAAGTAATTACCAGCAATTTTATAATTACTTTTTTAAACGATATATTAGAACCCTGTGGTTAGCTCTTTACTGTGTGATTCAAGAAACAACCCTTAATTATTTTCCGTTTCGATTATCTTAACATGACTAAAATCAAATTCATAGCTCGATTCGCTTCAGTTACATAATCTATCGCCAAATTTTATTTCAGACTAGGCTGCAGCACTGCGAAAAAAAAAATCTGACGCACGTTTGCTGACGGTCTATCGAAGGCATACATGCACAAAATTGATCCCACACGATCGGGCCGAGCCCAGCTCGCTTAAATCAAGCTAATGTTCCAATAATTTGGATCCAGTAGACCTGGTTCGACCAAATGAATGAATGAACGGCCTCGCCCGTTTTACGCTATACATGCAACGCTTGCGTAGCATAACGCGCATTCAAACGACACTCAGTTGCCTATAATTGTCGTAACGCATTTTATCGTGTTCACGATTGAGCGCGTGAGTGGACAAACAGGTTGCACGTTAATCGACGATCGATATTCCAGAAGAAATTTGAAAATACAGTGCAACCCCAATACGAATTCAACATTCCCACACAAATCGCCACACTTCTATGAAAATGACCAAAAATGGTACTCGAACTATTTCTTTCTAATACATGTTCGCGATGCGTACAATTAGCTTCTCCTTACATCTTCAAAAATTCTATAAGATAACCCCCCCCCCCCCCCCTCTCTCTCTACATGCTCTGCGTACAATGCAGCACACGAGCGACCATAAAAATTGCATCACCGTAAAAATGACACCTAGTGCGCTTTCACTCTCACGCGAGCAGTAACCTGCCACGGTTACCGGGGTGTTAAAGGTTTGATTTATAGCGACGATGATTTGATTTATCATCCCAAAACCGTTTAGTATAGCTACCACACTTCCATTTCAGTCGCCAGCCCCCATTTTTAAGCAGGGCTTCAATTTCTGCGGCCGCTGGCGTATTATCCAACGCGACCGGGCTCATCGGGCACGCTTGGTCGGACGCTTGGACATCGCGCGAGCGCCTCCCAATCCGAAGTCTGACCACCAAGCCTCGTACCCTCGCTTTCTCAGCGAGCAACCGAGTCGCCCAACCCCGCGGCAGTAAGGACGCGTTCGTGCCCACGCGAAGACGCGGACCGACGCCGCGGCCGACCGACGTCGATGCCGACTACCGACCCTTCCTTGAGGCTCGCACCCTCGTAAATGCACCCTGCCCGGCGACTCGACTTCGCTGTCCACCTGGTAGCCAGGTAAGACCTCCGACTCGTCCACGAAATCCTTCGAGAAACTCGAGATCGCCGTGTTTGGAATTCACGAATCCAAGGGTTGGATTGTTCGCAAAGTGGAACCAGGTATAGTTTGGGGTGAAAAATCCAACTCGAACTCGTGGTTTCGGTGGTTCACGCGCGTAACTGAGTAATCTTGGTTTAACCGAGATGTTACGAAGTGCTGAGTAATCAGAAAGTGTTTGAAAATTGGGAATGTTGATATCTAGAGGATCGGGGAGTGTAGGCTCGATCATTTAGGTATTTTAGTGGTTTGTTTTACGAGTTCCTCGTGGTGTACTTTGGGGGTGGGGATTAAATGTGTACGAGGTATGATCTCAACTAGTGAGGGGTGTGTATTTGGTCGACTCACAAGTTAATGATTTATTATCGTGATATTTGAATTAATATGTGAAACATACATTTAAGTGTTACGAGTAATCAGTCATTATTTCTACGATATTTTTCTGCTTTTCTGGCAGATTCACTATACCGTTGCTATATATCTGTGGTCTTTTTTTTTTATTAAATATAAACACATTTCGTGTA